ATTCCAGGGAGAAGGAACAATCAAGTAAAGAAGCCAACTACAAATTTCAAATGGTGAAACATGCTATTAAGAAAAATGATGTGATAAAGAATAAACAGAATACCTAGGAACTTCTTAAATGCTAACAGGGTTACTAAGGAAAAAAGACCTATCAATGTCAAACTTTATAGATGAACTAGGCAATGTATGTAGTGGCAGTGGCAGGAATAACAATAGCAGTCAAAAAGAAGTGTAAAAATGTGACAGGAATAAAGAAAAAGAAAGGAATAAGGGCTGAAAGAGTGGAAAAAAGAGAAGTGGATGTGTAACAAAACAAGTAAGGGCCCACTGTGCCCATCACTCAGACCTGCCTTCCACGAAGAGAGAGACACGGGTTTTAATTTTTGCTGTTGTTTTCGGATCCATGAGCTTAATTTATCAGTTCAAACCATACTAGAAATCACCTATTCTTCCACACTATTTGATACAAAATAAATAGAGGTTTTAAAACCCGAATAAACAGGTAAAATATAACTGCTTTTCTTCTTCTTCTTTTTTTTTTTTTTGAGAAAAGGTCTTGCTCTGTCACTGTCATCCGGGCTGGAGTGTAGTGGTGTGATCACAGCACACTGCAGCCTCAACCTCTAGGCTCAAGCCTCCCAAGTAGCTGGTACCACAGGTGTATGCCACCACACCCAGCTAATATATATATATTTTTTGCAGCAGTGAGGTCTAACTATGTTGCCCAGGCTGGTGTCGACCTCTTGGACTCAAGTGATCCTCCCACCTCAGACTCCCAAAGTGCTGGGATTATAGGCATGAGCCACTGTGCCTGGCCTAGAATTGCTTTTCTTAAGACAGTAATGGGGGCAAGAGTGTTTATAAATAAATGTATCTCTTCCTACAGGACAAAATCATACGGTAAGTTTCTATTAAGATTCAAGCTTCAAGGAGAAAAGATCCTTGAAGAATACTTTTTTAAGCGACCACTCCCTAAAGTACAGGCTTAAGAAAGCTATTTAACTCAGCTATACAACACCTGTGCTAAACACGAGTGATTACAATAGTCATCTTACAGCAAACTAGTGGGAAAATAACCCTGGTGAACCCTGGAAGCAAAACACTTTAGGTATAAGACAACCAAACAGAGAAGGACTCACAGAAGCTGCTGTGCATTCACCATGGCTTCCCTTCAGTCTGTGCCAAGCCAGAGTATGAAATTATCAAGATGGACCAGGTGTGGTGGCTCATGCCTGTAATCCCGGCACGTTGGGAGGCCAAGGTAGGTGGATCGTTTGGACCCTGAGTTCAAGACCAGCCTGGGCAACATGGTGAAACCTCATCTCTACAAAAAATACAAAAGTTAAACAGGTGTGGTGGTGCATACCCACAGTCCCAGCTACTCAGGAGGCTGAGGTGGGAGGATCGCCTGAGCTCTGGAGGTCGAGGCTGTGGTGAGCCGTGATTGCACCACAGCACTCCAGACTGGGTGACACAATGAGACCTTGTCTCAAAAACAACAAAAACCCACAAGGAAGTTATAAAGATGGAGCGGAAAGCCTGCATTGGCCTTTTCTTCCTGTCTGTATCTTCCACCAAACCTCTTACCTATATTACCACAGGCTGCCATTCCCTGAGTCTCTATCTCCATTTTGAAATACCAGAAAAGCAAGCAGCCAATGAGGTTTAAAGAGTTCCAGAACCTCACTACCCAGAGAAAACAGGAAGCAACACAGTCACTGTAGAAGAGCGTCCACCTTCATCGTCTCAAAGACAACTCAGACTAAAGCCTCCCTTGCTGCTTCTCTCTTCTGCCGTCTCTCTCAGCCCAACAGGACAACTCCCTTAGGTCACAGATGGGAAAAAGTTTGAAATTTCTCAAATATGCCCATTTATTCCAGTCTAACAGGTCAGACTTTTATCACCTCACAATCACAGTACTGCTAGTTTCCTCTGCTCCAAATTCATTCTGCCAGAACAATCGTACTAAAATTTCATTTACTAGGTTGGTGCAAAAGTAACTGCAGTCTTTGCCAATTTTTTTTTTAAATGGTAACCTAATATATTACATCAATTCCCTGTTGAGGGCAGTGAAATGTCTTATGCTTCTCTAGTTGCCCGCTGACTGACCCATAGCTCAATAAATATTTGTTGCTTGAAACCATCCCATGATCACTCACCAGCCTATGCCTAGTGAGCCCTGGAAGCAATAGATTTTTAAGGCAGAGGTGTTGAATATGCAGAATGCATGTGAAAAAGTCAACAGTCAACTCAAACACCTCCAAGATAAAATGGAATATCTCTAAGACATTTCACAGTTCTGACTCCACCTAAACCAGCCTCTCTGCACTGAAATCAGGGTGTCTGGGCTCTAACCCCAGCTCCGCCACTTCTGGCTATTTAACCTCTGTGTGCTTCAATTTACTCCTCATGAAAATCCAAGTTGGCTTTTGTCAAGTTCTTCTTCCATCCTACCTGACTATTCAATCCCAAGCCATTCCACAAAGGTCAATAAGAGTCTTACTGAATGACCTCAGCCCATCCCTTCAGTCACTTAATATACAAACCTACAGCAAGAGTCTGAATCATTCATTTCAACTTATACCTGAGATCGTACATTACCTTGCCTCATTTAATTACTCCGCATGTATATGACGCACTCCTACCAATGTTCCACGCATGAGAGACAGAGTGACACTATTCACTGCCTCACGTGGTCTTGAGTAGCACAATAATATTAGTATCAACAACCACTGGCTGGGTACAGTGGCTCAAGTTTGTAATCCCAGCACTTTGGGAGGCTGAAGAGACCAGATCACTTAAGCCCAGAAGTTTCACACCAGCCTGAGGAACACGGCAAAACACCGTCTCTACCAAAAAATACAAAAATAGCTGAGCATGGTGGCGCACACCTATAGTCCCAGCTACTTGGGAGGCTGAGGTGGGAGGATCACTTGAGCCCAAGGAGACGAAGGTTGCAGTGAGCCGAGATCCCACCACTGCACTCCAGCCTGGGTGACAGAGAGAGATCCTATTTCAAAAAATAAAAAAACAACTATTTTAAGTGTGGCGCATTGGCTCATGCCTGTAATCCTGGCATTTTGGGAGGCTGAGGCAGGAGGATCGCTTGAGCCCAGGAGTTAAGAGACCAACCTGGACAACATAGGGAGACCCTGTCTCTACACAAAAAGTCAGTTAATTAAAAATAAATAGAAATAAAACAAAATACATAAAAAAAACTTTAAAACCCGGTTATTATGACTACCGTTTACTGTATACATAAAGCGCCAGGCACTGTGCTAAGTAGCTTATGTATTTTTCTGTCCTTTACTTTTCTTAATACTTTCAGGTAAATTTCTTTTTATCACCACTTCGTAGATGAGAAAGAGACTTTACCCAAAGCTACAAAATTAGTAAGGATGGGCGAGAAGAGCGAGAGTGGATAATTCAAACTCAGCTCTGTCTACCTCCAAAGCCCCATTTTCTTTTTTTTTTTTTTAAGATAAGGGTGTCACTTTGTTTCCCAGGCTGGTCTCCAATTTCCGATCTCAGGCAATACTCCCAACTCGGCCTCGCAAAGTGCTGGGATTACAGGCCTGAACCACTTCGCCCAGCTCAAAGTGTCATGTAGTTTCTTAACTACATGACATTGCCTAGTAACTACTTTGGTCATTTCATATCTAGGTGTTAAGTCTTCTCTCTGAACTGCAAGCTGTTTAACAGTAACAAAACAAAAGTGGCTGTTTAGTCGCTTCCAAAATGACCCATTCCTAAGTGATCCATATTCAAGCCTGTACACGAATTCACTAATTTAATCCTCCCAACGACTCCATGAGATAGTAATAATTATTACTGCCAATTTCCAAATAGGAATCAGGCACAGAAAAGTTAAATAACTTGCGTCAAATCACTTGACTGTAAGTGCTGAATTCAGAGGTGAAATGTTAACTGATAAGCTGTTTCATTTATTGACTCACTCTCAACAACTTTTATTAAGCACTCTTTCAGGGGCTGGGGATGGGGCAGTGACTAAACCAGAAAACATCCCTGCTCTCATGGAGCTTACAATCTTATTCCTCAATGTTTTCATTCAAAGACACAATCCTAAATCCTCTTAAATACCCTAAGATTACCACACAAAAACATCACATTTCGGTAACAAAAATTAATACCAAAGAAGGAGCATGGGACTTGACCCCAGAAAACCTAGGTTAAATCCCTAATTTTGCCATTTGTTAGCTGTGACCGTGGGCAAATTCCTTCACCTGACTCCATTTCATAGCCTGTAAAAAGATTATTTCGCACAATGAAGACCATATACGCTCAATAAACGAGTTTCCTCTCTCCTCCCCGCCATACAGTGACTTCATAATTTGTGCCGTCACTGAGCACGTGTTAAAGGACTACGCAGAGTTCCACTAAGGACTGAACGTGAACAACTTCTTACTTTTCAGCGGAGTTCTCTCCAGATCATCACCACTCTGTCTCTAAGTTCAGGCCCCAGACTACTCTGACTCAAATAAATCAGGTGGCAAGTCGGAAATGACAGCAACTCGCATCAGGACCTGGCGGTGTCTATGAAATGCTCCAGGTGACCTTCTGCAGAAGGCACTTCGATTTCCGCGGGGGAGCAGCGTGGCCTCCTAAGCCGGTACCCCGCCGCGTGCCGGGGGATGCACCACCCAGGAGGAGAACCCCGCGGCTCCGGCACGAGGGTGTGCCCCGACACTGGCTTCCACTCAAGAGCTCTGCGACTGTCCTGACACCTGCCAACCCCGACCACCTCCTCCAGTCTGCAACTCCACCCCGCACCCAGGCGGCGGCTCCGGCTCCTCGGGTCTGTGTGCGCCGCCCGAGTGACCGCCCGCCTGGGAACGGGCGGCTCGCCCGGGCCGGAGGGGCCGGAAAAGGCCGAGCGGCCTGACCTCCCGTGGGGCTTTCCTTCCTTCCTCCGGGGCAGCGCAGCCTGCAGCCAACAGCTCGGCTACCGGCCGGGCCCGCAGGGGCGAGAAGCCCCTTACCTATCTTCACGACTGCATCCGCCAGGCACCGGTCCCACTTCCTGCCGAGCTCCGACTCCGACATGTTCCCCACCCGCGCCTCCAGCTTTCCTCTCGGCCGGCCCCCGCGCTCCGACCCCTTCAAGTCTCGCGAGAGCTGGAAACAAGTCCTAGGTCACGAAGGCCGGCGCAGGCGTTCCAGTATCGCGAGATGATCCGCTGCTTCCATCCCTTCCGGTTTTTTTCAGTTGGTCGTCAAGGTGACGAGTTGCCTGGAAGCTCGAGGTGACCCTGACCTTGGGGCTGCGCCTATGGGTTGCAAGGCTGACAGTTTCCTAGGCGTCACCCCAAGCCGTTTCCAGGCCTTTCCTCCGCACCAAAGTGCGACATTGGCCCTGGAAATCCCCCGGGCAAGAGAGGGCACAGACTTGATTTATTCGCTAATTCGCTAACTTACTCACCTTCACTTTCCCTACTCACTCTCTCATTCGTTCGCTGGTTTCTTGCATTGGAATTCCCGCCTGAACCACTAACACCGAAACTGCTCTGGGAAAGGTCACCTACCGCCAAATGAAATGGACGCTTTTCTGACCTCTGTACCGCATTCCACACAATTGTCCCTCCCTCTGATCCTCCCCGGCTCCTCCTCTATTCGTTTCACTCCCGGTAACGCTACTCTTTCCTCTTCTCCCCATCTGCTGTTGTCTTTTGGTTTCCTCCAGAGCTGCCTTTTCTCTGCCCGCTGTTTAAGGAATGTTGGTTCGCAAGCTTACATCAATTCTCTTTTCACTCTACAGACTCCCTGAGTAATTGCAAACATTGCCAAATTGTATCTACAGGTAAAACGTCTACCTCAGGCCTCCTATCCACGTATATATTTACACACACACACACACACACACATATACAGGGTGACTTCTGTATCTATGGGCTTTGCGTCCATGGATTTAACCAACCATGGACCAGAAATATTTTTAATCAAATAAAAAATAATACAAAATTTAAAATTCAGTGCAACTATTTACGTAGCATTTACATTGTATTAGGTATTATAAGTAATCTAGAGATGATTTAAAGTATATGGGAGCCAGCGCAGTGGCATGCACCTATAGTCCCAGCTACTTGGGAAGCTGAGATGGGAGGATTGCTTGGGACTAGGAGTTCGACTTCATCTCTTAAAAAAAAAAATAAGTAATTTTTTAAAAGGGTATGTGAGCATATGTGTAGATCGTATGCAAATACTGTGCCATTTTATATATGGGACTTGAGCATCCTGCATTTTGGTAACTGCAAGACCCTGAAACCAAATGCCCACAGCTATCAAGAAAGATTGTATATCCAGCCTACTGGCTAGTGTTATTGATTTTAGTCTTCTATCCTACCAACAAATATAAATCTGACCATGTTATGCCTCTGATTAGAAGCTGTCAATGAAGGCTGAGAGCAGTGGCTCACACCTGTAATCCCAACACTCTGGGAGGCTGAGGCGGGAGGATTGCTTGAGGCCAGTAGTTCAAGACCAGCCTAGGCAGCATAGTGAGACTCCTGTCTCTACAAAAAAAAATTTAAAAATTAGCCAGGCTAATGTGATGTGCACCCTTAGTCCCAGTTACTTGGGAGGCTGAGGTGGGAGGATCACTTGAGCCTGGGAAGTGGAGGCTACATTGAGTCATGTTCTTGCCACTGCACTCCAGTCCGGGCATCAGAGTGATAACCTATTGCAAAAAAAAAAAAAAGAAAAGAAAAAAAAAGCTGTCAGTGACTCCCATTCATACACCGGATCTATCCAAGCTTCAACACTGCACTGATTCTACGAAGCCTAGGCATATAGAGCTTAGAGCTACCTTCCCCTTCTCATTGTCCCACTAGTCTGCCTATCTACATTGAATTCTCTACCTAGTACTGAAACATCTGGTTGTAGATGTTATCTGCTAGTAGAACTAGAAGTTGCCGCTTCGTCTTCATACTTCCAGTCAGAGCACAATGCCTTGAATAGTAGGGTCTTCTACAAAATATCTGTTGAACTGAATTGGATTTATTCACCTATTTATTTGTTTATTTATTTATTGAGACAGAGTCGTGCTCTGTCGCCCAGGCTGCAGTGCAGTGGCGCGATCTCGGCTCACTGCAACCTCCGCCTCCTGGATTCAAGCAATTCTTCTGCCTCAGCCTCCCAAGTAGCTGGGATTACAGGCACCCACCACCACGCCTGGCTAACTTTTTGTATTTTTTTTAGTAGAGATGGGGTTTCGCCATATTGGCCAGGCTGGTCTTGACTCCTGGCCTCAAGTGATGCGCCCACCTCGGCCTCCCAAAGTGCTGGAATTATAGGCATCGTTAACCTATTTATTATTTGCAACTTTGACAGCAAAATTCTGTTGTACCAGACCTTGCTATGACAGCCTCTTCCTTCAAGATAACTTCTATGACCACCCTTCCCTTCTCCTAGTTCTCAATTTTTTAAAATTATTATTATTATTATTTTTGAGACAAAGTCTTGCTCTGTCACCCAGGCTGGAGTGCAGTGGCGTGATCTCAGCTCACTGCAACCTCTGCCTCCCAGATTCAGCGATTCTCCTGTCTCAGCCACCTGAGTAGTTGGGATTACAGGCACGTGCCACCACCCCCAGCTAATTTTTGTATTTTTAGTAGAGATGGAGTTTCACCATGTTAGCCAAGCTGGTCTCGAACTCCTGACCTCAGATAATCCACCCACCTCGGCCTCCCAAAGTGCTGGGATTACAAGCGTGAGCCATCGTGCCCAGCCCTATTATTCTTATTCTTTAAATTTTTCTTTGCTTTTCCTTTTTTATAGAGGTGAGGTTTTGCTATGCTGCCCAGGCTGGTCTTGAACTCGTGGGCTCAAGCCATCTTCCCACTTTGTCCTCCCAGAGTGCTAGGATTATAGGCATGAACCACCATGCCCGGCTCCTTCTCCTAATTCTCATCAGAGCCACTTATCAGATGATTTATGTTTTTAATGATTATTTGTAATTTAAATAATTATTTGTGTGTCTTTTGGATTTTGACTGTGAGCAAATTGAGAATGGAGGCTGTGCCATTTCTGTATCCCTAATGCTTAGCAGAGGGCTTGGTATATATTGGATTCTCAATAAATGCTTTTTGAATGGACATAAAAGTGAATAAATACATGAACAAATGATTTAATTAATCAGAAAGAGAAAAAGTCCCTGTTCTGGGGAAACTGTATAGTGTAACATTTGTGTTGAAAAAGAAAAGGAAAATAAACTTAACTAAAATACCTATGACATGGCTGGGTGCAGTGGCTCATTCTTGTAATCCACTTTGGGAGACCAAGGCAGGAGGATCACTTGAGCCCGGGAGGTCAAGGCTGTAGTGAACCGTGATGGTGCCACTGCACTCCAGCCTGCGCGACAGAGTGAGACCCTCTCTCTAAATAAATAATACCTACGGCGTGTCATAAATAGCTCCAGGCACTTTGCATAACTTCATTTATTCTCACAGCAGGTTGAGATTAGTATCTTCGTTTTCACATTTGGAAACTGAGTCTCTGAGAAGTTAAACAACACAGAAGATGCACAAAGCTCCACATCGTCTAGATTTAAAACTGACAAAGGCATTTTTATTGGATTCAACAGAGTTGTAAACTCTTGCAAAAGGTAGAGAGCATAATACAAAAGCAATCGGAGGCAGATGCGATAGCATGAATGTGGAGCCAGGCTCTCTGGGCGCAGATCCCAGCTTTCCCATCTCCTAGCCTTCTTTCTATTGTTCTCTTTTCCCACCATTCCTTCCCCAGTACAATGTTCTGTTCACTGCTATATCCCTAGCCCTATAAGATTATCTCACACATAGTGTCTGCTTGATAAATATTTATTGGTTGAATAAAATGAATGAAAACGTTGGCGTTTTTGTTCTTCTTGAAGAACAAAGATTAATACAAGTGGGAAAACATTTTTTTTTTAAAAAAAAACCAGCAACACACTCATTATAAACTTAGTTACATTCAAAATGATTAAAAATAGGTTTCTCATTGCTAGGGTTACAAACATGGAAAAGAGGAAAGCTAGAAAGAACTCTGTGCTGTTGGATTGGAATTGCAGTTGTCAGTATGACCTCATGATATTTAATATAATAAAGATAAGAAAGTACTCAGAGGATGATAGTGACATGTCAAAGTATTTCATTTATTTATGTTATTGAGAGACAAAATCTCATTCTGTGGCTCAGACTGGAGTGCAGTGACACTATCATAGATCACTGTAGCCTCGAACTCCTGGGCTCAAGCAATTCTCCCACCTCGGTCTCCCAAGTAGTTAGGATGACAGGCATATACCACCTGGCCTGCTAAATTTTTTTTATTATAATTATTATTATTAGAGACAGAGTCTCTTGCTGTCACCAGGCTGGATTGCAGTGGCATGATCTTGCCCACTGCAAGTTCCACCTCCCAGGCTCAAGTGATCCTCCTACCTCAGCCTCCCAAGTACCTGGGACTACAGGTGCACACCATCACACCTGGCTAATTTTTGTATGTTTTGTAAAAATGGGGTTTCACCATATTGCCCAGGCTGGTCTCAAACTCCTGGGCTCAAGCAGTCTTCTCACCTCAGCCTTCCAAAGTGTTGAGGTTATAGGTGTGAGCCACCGCGCCCAGCCCAAACTGATTTAGTAACTACAAACTGTCTAAAATAGTGCTTGGCTCCTAATTGGAATTCTGTAATCATTATTATTATAGCACTGCTCTTAATTGTCTGGAACAGGTTTCACAAAGATAGTTTACATTTCAAATGAGTAAAGACAGACTCCTATAAAAGGAAGAGAGCCAACATCTTTTTACACTGTCTTGAAGAAAAATAAAAAACCAAAGACTGTCACTTAAATAGGCTAGACTTTAGCCTCAACTGGTTAATCAGCTAAACATAAACTCTTTGTTTAGTCTACTAGGTTGTAAATTCAGCTTCCTTAACATCACAGATTAGAATGTTCTATACCACGGCACCTGCATAAATAAAGGCTTTTAGATGCCAGTGATTTTCTTCATGGTTTTTCTTCAATTGAAAACTAATTTCTTAGGGTGGGTGCAGTGGCTCATGCCTGTAATCTGAGCACTTTGGGAGGCCAAGGTGGGAGGATCACTTGAGCCCAGGAGTTCAAGACCAACCTGGGCAACATAAGGAAACCCTGTCTCTATAAATAATAAAAACATATAGCTGAGTGTGGTGGTGCACACCTGGAGTACCAGCTAGATGGGAGACTGAGGCAGGAGGATCACTTGAGCCCAGGAGGTCAAGGTTGTAGTGAGCTGTGATCATGCCACAGCATTCCAGCCTGGGTGACAGAGCAAGACCCTGTCAAACAAAAAAAAAGGAAGAAAAGGAAAAAACCCTAATTTCTTTCTTAAAGAAGAGTCACATTTTGTTGTTGTTGTTGTATTTCATATCTTCTTTTTGCAAGAGGGGACCTATATCATTTTGTCCCTTCAGGAATGTGTTCAGAGTCAAAAATCTACTACACAGCTGCTTTGTTTGGTTCCAAAGCCCAGGGACCCCCTTCCCTTTTAAATGTATGTGTATGTATGAAATATTCCAAGCATTCAGAAAAGTGCTAGGAACATGGCCAGGTGCGGTGGCTCACGCCTGTAATCCCAACACTTTGGGAGGCCAAAGTTGGAGGATCACTTGAGTCCAGGAGTTCGAGACCAGCCTGAACAACATAGTGAGACCTTGTCTGTACAAAAAAAATCAAAAAGTGAAGCGGGAGGATAGCTTGGAGGTGGGAGGATACCTTGAACCAGGAGGTTGAGGCGCCATGAGCCGTGATCACATCACAGCACTCCTGCCTGGGTGACAGAGTGAGACCCTGCCTCAAAAAATAATAATTAATTAATTAGTTAATTAAAAATTAGTTGGATGTGGTGATGGTAGGCTGAGGTCATAGGATTGCTTGAGTAAAGGAGTTCAAGGTTGCAATGAGCTATGATCACGCCACTGCACTTCAGCCTGAGCAACAGAGCTTGACCCTATCTCAAAAGAAAAGAGCTAAAAACATAAATACAGCTTAACAAATTGTTGTAAAATGAACATTACTAGCACCCCAGAAGCCCCTTCTCTGCACATCCTTCACCAGATCCAAACTGCTCCCTCCTTGCCAAGGGAGGATAGCATAACCACTATCTCGACTTTTTTTTTGCCCAGACAGAGTATCACTTTGTTGCCCAGGTTGGAGTGCAGCGGTGCAATCAAGGCTTACTGTAGCCTCGAAGCCTCCTGCCTCCAACTCCCAAGTAGCTGGGGCTACAGGCATGTGCTAGCATGCCTGGCTAATTTTTTGCTTTTTACTTTTTGTAGAGACAGGGACTTGCTATACTGCCCAGGCTGGTCATGAACTCCTGGGCTCAAGTGATCCTCCCATCTTAACCTCCCAAAGTGCTGATATTATAGATAGAAGTAAGCCACAGCACCTGGTATATCTTGACTTTCATGTTATTCATTTCCTTGTTTTTCTCTAAGTGTTACTACCTGGTTATATATCTTTTAAAAATGTAGTTTAATTTTGCCTAATTTTGAACTTTGCTTTACTGGAATCATACAGTCTATATGTTATGATATTCAGCTTCTTTTCCTCATTAGTATCCATGCTTTTGTATGTAATTATAGTTCGTTCTTTTTCATTGCTATATCATATTCCATTATATTCTGTCCATGATGTATTTAGTCTACTGTCCGTGGATATTTGGGTTGTTTCTAGCTTGAGGCTTTTTTTTTTTTTTTTTTTTTTTGAGTCTGAGTCTCCCTCTGTCGCCCAGGCTGGAGTGCAGTGGCGTGACCTCGGCTCACTACAACCTCCGCCTCCCAGATTCAAGCGATTCTCCTGCCTCAGCCTCCTGAGCAGCTGGGACTACAGGCGCCTGCCACCATGCCCAGCTAATTTTTGTATTTTTAGTAGAGACGGGATTCAGCTATGTTAGCCAGGCTGGTCTCAAATTCCTGACCTCAAGTGATCCGCCCTCCTTGGCCTCCCAAAGTGCTGGGACTGCAGAGGTGAGCCACTGTGCCTGGTCCCAGCTTGAGACTATTGCCAACAAGTCTTCTCATTCTTCTGTGAATATCCCGATACACATTGGGATTTTTATATATATACAGACAGGGTCTCATTCTGTTACCCAGGCTGCAGTGCAGTGGCATAGTAGGCTTACTGCAGCCTCGACCCCTCAGGCTTAGGCAATCCTCCTACCTCAGCCTCCTGAGTAGCTGGAACCACAGGTGGTGCATGCCACCATCCCTGGCTAATTTTTGTATTTTTTTGTGGATACATGGTTTTGCTATGTTGCCCAGGCCGGGCTCGAATTCCTGGGCTCATGGGATTCACCATTCTCAGTCGCCTAAAGTGCTGGGATTACAGGTGTGAGCCACCATGCCCGGCTCAACTGGCATATATTTTTATAGAATATGTAAGTCAGGAGGGCAATAGGGTATGCATACTTCAGCTTCACTTGGTACTGCCAAACTTTATCCCAAAGTGATTGTACCAATTTACATTGTCCCCAGCAGCATATGATCATTCCTGTTACTCCATGTCCTCACCAACAGTTGGGTTGTAATGATACTTTAGTATTGTTGCCAGTCTGGTAGGTGTATAGTACTATCTCAATGGGGTAGTGCTTGAGAGAGCTACTAGTCGTGTACTCTGAATATATAATGTAGCAGGACTGGGGGATTCCAATAAAATCAAAGGGGCCCTGAAAGAGAAGGGAGATTGATAAAGACATTTTGCTAAAGTAATGCCTTGCCAACTTGAGGAAGGTATGCTGGGTTAAATAGTGTCCCCCCAAATTTATGTCCTTCCTAGAGCCTCACAATGTGGCCTCATTTGGAAATAGGGTTGTTGAAAATGTAATTAGTTGGCCGGGTGTGATGGCTTATGCCTGTAATTCCAGCACTTTGAGAGGCCAAGGCGGGCGGATCACCTGAGGTCAGGAGTTCGAGACCAGCCTGGCCAACATGGCGAAACCCCGTCTCTACTAAAAATACAAAAAAGTAGCCGGGCGTGGTGGTGCACACCTGTAATCCCAGCTACTTGGGAGGCTGAGGCAGGAGAATGGCTTGAACCTGGGAGGCGGAGGTTGCAGTGAGCCAATATCCTGCCATTGCATCCCAGCTTGGGCAACAGGAGCGAAACTCCATCTCAAAAAAAACAAACAAACAAAAGCAAAACAGAAACAGAAGCACTGTCATTGCCCTCAGAGTTCCGTTACAACTTACTCTTCTTGAATGCCAAAGGCTTGCACCGGCAGGCCGGGGACCTCTTGACCAAATTGATGTTGCTTATAATCTCAGCTACTAGGGAGGCTGAGGCAGAAGAATCCAGGAGGCAGAGGTTGTAGTGAGCCAAGATTGCACCACTGCACTCTATCCTGGACAACAAAAGTAAAGCTCTGTGTCAAAAAAAAAAAAAAAAAAAAAAGTCATTAGTTAAAATTGGGCCAGGTGCTGTGGCTCACTCACACCTATAACAGTTTGGCACGCCAAAGTGAGAGGATCACTCGACTCCAGGAGTTTGAGATCAGCCTGGGCAATATAGTGAGACCTTGTTTGTACAAAACATTTTAAAAATTAGCCAGGTATGGTGGTGCATACCTATAGTCCCAGCTTCTTGGGAAGCTGAGGTGGGAGGATCACTTGAGCCCAGGAGGCAGAGGTTGCAGTGAGTTAAGATCACACCACTACTACTGCACTCCAGCCTGGCGACAGTGAGACCCTGTCTCAAGAAAAAGGAAAAAAAAAAAAAAAAGGTTAGCTCATACTGGAGTGACATGCACACTAAACCAAAAAGACTGGTGTCCCTATAAGAAAAGAAGAAGAGACACAGAAACAGACACAGAGAAGATGGCCCTGTGACAACACAGGCAGACAATTTGGCTTATGTGGCTATAAGCCAAGGAAGACCACGAATCACCAGCAAGCACCAGGCGCCAGGAGAAAGGCATGGAACAGATGCTCTCTCTGAGTCCCCCTAAAGGAATCAGTCCTGCTGACACCTTGACTTTGGCCTTCCAGCCTTCGGAACTGAGAAACACTATAATTCTGTTGTTTCAAAGCCACCCAGTTTGTGATCCTTTGTTATGACATCATGAGAGAACTAATACAGCAGGGAGCACACTGGATTAGAGATCATGAGAGCTGTACCCCAGTCTCTACTCTGCTGTTAACTGCTGGTTCTACACATGTAGCCACGCCTGTCTTGTTAGGTGGGCCTTTCTGTGGACTCACCTCTTTAGATTATTATTATTTTTTTATTTTTTTTTTAGTCAGAGTCTCACTCTGTTGCCCAGGCTGGAGTGCAGTGGCATGATCTTGGCTCACTGCAACCTCCACTTTCCAGGTTCAAGCAATTTTCCCACCTCAGCCTCCTGAGTACCTGGGATTATAGGCATAAGCCACCACCACACCCGACTTTTTTTTTTTTTTTTTTTGTAGAGACCGGATTTTCTCATGTTGCCCAGGCCAGACTCAAGTGACACCCCTGCCTCAGTCTTCCAAAGTGCTGGAGTTACAGGCGTGAGCCACCAAGCCCAGCCTCTTCAGATTCCTGTATGCACCGCATAATGACGTTTCTGTCATCTGCAATCTAATGATGGTCCCATAAGTTTATAATACTGTATTTTTACTGTACTTTTCTATGTTTATATATGTTTATGCCCAAGCATGGTGGCTCATGCCTGTAATCCCAGCACTTTAGGCCAAGGCGAGTGGATCACCTGAGGTCAGGAGTTCGAGACCAGCCTGGTCAACATGGTGAAAATCTGTCTTTACTAAAAATACAAAAATTAGCCAGTTGTGGTGGTACATGCCTATAATCCCAGCTATTCAGGAGGCTGAGGCAGGAGAATCACTTGAATCCAGGAGGTGGAGGTTGCAGTGAGTAGGGATGGTGCCATTGCATTCCAGCCTGGGTGACAGGCTGGACAAACAAACTGTATTTATACTGTACTTTTTCTGTGTTTAGATATATTTAGGTACACTCTTAC